GTGGATTATGGGGTACAGAAACCTCTCCCATATTTATGGCGGTGGATTATGGGGTACAGAAACCTCTCCCATATTTGTGTCGGGTGGATTATGGGGTATAGAAACCTCTCCCATATTTATGGCGGTGGATTATGGGGTACAGAAACCTCTCCCATATTTATGTCTTGTGGATTATAGGGCACAGAAACGTCTCCCATATTTATGTGGGGTGGATTATGGGGTACAAAAACCTCTCCCATATCTATAGGGGGTGGATTAAGGGGTACAGAAACCTCTCCCATATTTATGGGGGGTGGATTATGGGGTACAGAAATCTCTCCCATATTTATGTCGGGTGGATTATAGGGTACAGAAACCTCTCCCATATTTATGTGGGGTGGATTATGGGGTATAGAAACCTTTCCCATATTTATGGGGGGTGGATTATAGAGTACAGAAAACTCTCCCATATTTATGTTGGGTGAATTAAGGGGTACAGAAACCTCTCCCATATTTATTAGGGGTGGTTTATGGGGTACAGAAACCTCTCCCATATTTATGTGGGGTGGATTATGGGGTACAGAAACCTCTCCCATATTTATGGGGGGTGGATTATGGGGTACAGAAACCTCTCCCATATTTATGTGAGGTGGTATTATGGGGTACAAAAACTTCTCCCATATGTATGGGGGGTGGATTAAGGGGTACAAAAACCTCTCCCATATTTATGGGGGGTCGATTATGGGGTACAGAAACCTCTCCCATATTTATGTCGGGTGGATTATGGGGTACAGAAACCTCTCCCATATTTATGTGGGGTGGATTATGGGGTACAGAAACCTCTCCCATATTTATGTGGGGTGGATTATGGGGTACAGAAACCTCTCCCATATTTATGGGGGGGGTAGATTAAGGGGAACAAGGACCTCTCCCTTATTTATGGGGGGTGGGTTATGGGGTACAGAAATCTCTCCCATATTTATGTCGGGTGGATTATGGGGTACGGAAACCTCTCCCATATTTATGTCGGGTGGATTATGGTGTACGGAAACCTCTCCCATATTTATAGGGGGTGGATTATGGGGTACAGAAACCTCTCCCATATTTATGTGGGGTGAATTATGGGGTATAGAAACCTCTCCCATATTTATGTGGGGTGGATTATGGGGTACAGAAACCTCTCCCATATTTATGGGGGGTGGATTATGGGGTACAGAAACCTCTCCCATATTTATGGGGTACAAAAGTTGCCATATTTATTATAATAAAATGTAAAACATTAAATATTTCCATTTAATGATCATTCATTACTTATAATGTAAGTTTCATAAACCACCTATTAATATCTTATTTAGTAATGGTTTACACAGTTGATTTAGTCCAAGTAAACTATTTTATACCTTACGTGATGTATCATGTTGAGGAGCACGTCTTCTATGAGGGTCAATAAACAGTAATAGTTTACCCTCAAATAATAAAAGTTTTCTTTGGTAAGTTAGTCATTCAGTCACCAGGCGGCACTACGGGTCAACCTGTGGTGACTAATAGTGGAGAGTTGTTCTTCCTTATTGGATATTCCTTGACAACAACAACAACACGCTTCACCATCTTGTATACTTCCGTCAATTTTCTCGTAAAACAGTTTATTTCTCCTCCTCCTGGACATTACAGCAAGTGTTTGGTGAGTTATTAAGGTGTGTTATATGACCTTGTTTACCTTAATACTGTATTATGACCTTTCCTGCTATGTGGAATGATAAAGATTCATTTTATGCCATAACGGGAAATTGATTACTACAATAGATTTAACTAATGTGTTTTTTATCTTGTTATAAAGGAATATGACCTTTATTTGAGTGGTAGGTTGATATTTATGGAGATATGACCACTTTAACACTAGTAACAGAGGTCAGCAGTGACATAAGCAAGCTTGCGGATGACACCAAAATAGGGTGGTAGATTAATTCAGGTCAGGATGCAAATGAACTATAGGAGGATTTAAATAAACTGCAGGAGTGGTCAGAGAAATGGCCAATGAAATTCATCACGAGCAAGTGCAGCGTACTTAATATTGGAAGAACAAATACTGTCAATGTATACAGCCTTAACAACATCAACCAGTGCGTTAATGTTTGAAATAAAGCAGTAGGTAGTAGGCAGGGAGGGACTACCGCCTGGGAAGATATTGGAAGCATAATGTGTTGTCTAATGGTAGACCCTGCTGCCATATGTGACCAAGTCCCAGGTTGATGATCTGTCTTTCTGCCTCAGTTACACACAATTGCAGGGTCTCAATTGTTTCTCTTACTATTGACAAGACAACATACTGTACATATAGCGTTTCTAACTATTGATTATTAATATTTTTTCTTTATTATCATTATTACAGTGTTGTTATTAATATTATTATTGTTATTATTATTTTATTTTACTTTTAATTATAAATTTTATTTACTATGAATTACTATTATTATTATTAAATTTTCGCCCCCAGGCCCCGATGTGGGTCAGTGACCTGTGCCCAGGTGGGCTAATCACCTTAAAAAAAAAAACAAAAAAAAAAACAGAGTATTGGGTTTTATATCTAGAAGTGTAAGTAACAAGAGTGCAGAGGTCTTATTGCAACTATATCTTGCGCTAGTCAGGCCGCACCTCGATTATGCTGTTCAGTTCTGTGCTCATTACAGAATGGATATCAATTCACTGGAGTCGGTAGCGAAGAAATTATTTAAAATGACTGGACCTAGAAACCTTCCATATCAGGATAGGTTAAAGAAACTAAACTTGCATTCCCTAGAAAGCCGAAGAGTGAGGGGAGATATGATAGAAGTATTTAAGTGGGTGAAAGGAATCAATAAAGGGGATATAGATAAAGTTCTTATAATATCCGAGCAGGATAGGACTCGTAGCAACAGATTTAAGTTGGATAAGTTTAGGTTTAGGAGGGAGCTAGGAAGGAACTGGTTTACAAATAGGGTGGTGGACGAGTGGAACAAGCTTAGCAACTTTGTAGTAAGTGCTGGAACGCTGGAAAGTTTTAAAAAGATTCATGGATGATAGAGAGTGGTAGTAACTCTCGACAGGAGCTGCCATGCACAGGCCAACCGGCCTATTGCAGACTGCTTATGTTCTTATGTTCTTATGGTTAAAGATAGGGCAGTCCGTTACTGGGTGACGATGTGTCATAAACCCTCATTAGCTGTAATTAAACCTTTGTAATTACGTTTAGAATATTTTCACTTTACACAAGTTGATTTAGTCACTTGTAGTTTTCATTTATAAATTGTACTTTTTATAAGAATATTATCTAAGGCAAAATATTTTGTTTCAGATACTGTGATGTTACATCTCAAGACCAAGTGTAATTAAGTAGAAGTTCACAATGTCAAGCAGAGATAAAAAGTTCTCCTGTGAGGAATGTGGCAAACAGTTTTGCTTAAAGTCTACTCTTCAGAAACATTTACTTGTGCACAATGGTATGAAGGAGTTTGAATGTGAGGAATGTGGGAAACATTTGTCATCTAAGAGTCATCTCAAAAGACACATTCTTGGACACAGTGGTGTAAGAAATTTTGAATGTGAGGAATGTGGAAAATGTTTCTCCCAGAAGAGATATCTCAAGGCACACATTCTTGGACACAGTGGTATTAAGAATTTTGAATGTGAGGAATGTGGGAAACATTTTGCAAAAAAGGGTACTCTCAAAACACACATTCTTGGACACAGTGGTATAAAGAAGTTTAAATGTGAGGAATGTGGGAAACATTTTACAGAAAGGGGTACTCTCAATACACACATTCTTGGACACAGTGGTGTAAAGAAATTTAAATGTGAGGAATGTGGGAAGCATTTTGCACAAAAGGGTACTCTCAAAAGACACATTCTTGGACACATTGGCATAAAGGAGTTTAAATGTGAGGAATGTGGGAAACATTTTGCACTAAAGTTTACTCTAAAGACACACATTCTTGGACACAGTGGTATAAAGGAGTTTATATGTGAGGAATGTGGGAAACATTTTGCAGAAAGGAGTACTCTCAATAAACACATTCTCGTACACAGTGGTATAAAAGAGTTTAAATGTGAGGAATGTGGGAAACATTTTGCACGAAAGAGTGCTCTCAAAACACACATTCTTGGACACAGTGGTATAAAGGAGTTTGAATGTGAGGAATGTGGGAAATGTTTCTCCCGGAAGGAAAATCTCAAACGTCATAAACGTGTGCATGAAAAAAACAGAATTCATTAAATGTTTGAATGACTTTAACAGAAGGTAAATGTGACTCATAAACTTGAATACAGTGATATACATCAATATAAAACCACTTGAACAAACTCTATGAATGTAGCAGAAATAAAGACAAGTGACAAATGCCATTTTTATAGATATTAAACACAAGTTATAATTATCTGCTCTTAAGATGTAAATTTCTTTACCAGACATGATAGAATATGTTAGAAAAATAAACTTGTGTTAGTTGAGTGGTATCCTATGAGTCTAGTAGAACTTGTACAATAATTTTGTTAACATGTAATGGTCACATGTAGACCCAGCCATGTTGATTTGGCTTGGTCAAGTCAGGTGATGTTGTTGACTTAGTCATGTCCTGTTGTCACTTGTGTATTGTACTAACATGTACTGTACATTACCAAGTGTGATGTACTAACATGTACTGTACATTACCAACTGTGATGTACTAACATGTACCGGTGGCTATCACCAACCGGGCTGCATTATCAAGATATCAAAGACAATAACTGTGATGTACTAACATGTACTGTACATTACCAACTGTGATGTACTCACATGTACTGTACATTACCAACTGTGATGTACTAACATGTACTGTGCATTACCAACTGTGATGTACTAACATGTACTGTACATTACCAACTGTGATGTATTAACATGTACTGTACATTACCAACTGTGATGTACTCACATGTACTGTACATTACCAACTGTGATGTACTAACATATACTGTACATTACCAACTGTGATGTACTAACATGTACTGTACATTGCCAACTGTGATGTACTAACATGTACTGTACATTACCAACTGTGATGTACTAACATGTACTGTACATTACCAACTGTGATGTACTAACATGTACTGTACATTACCAACTGTGATGTACTAACATGTACTGTACATTACCAACTGTGATTTACTAGTATGTACTGTACATTACCAACTGTGATGTACTGTCAGATGCTGCTCGGTACATCCCAAGGGCTCTGTGTAATATATAATGTATGTTCTTATGGTAATGTATAACATACATTCATGTTATGCTAATGTGTGTAATTTGTTGTATATAGTGAGTTGTTGTATATAATACATAATGGTGGTTGGGTGTGAAGTTGGCTTCTTGTACAAGGTGTTCCAAACTTGGGGTCTTGTGATGTTACTCCAATTATTAACTTATATGTTAATGTTAATTGAAGTAGTTTGAGGTGTCTACTTAATTGTCTTTTTGTTGTAACTTGTTGTAATTGTTTCATTACTAATTTGTGAATTAATGTAACTGTGATGTTATTAGCCACAATGCTTGGTGGGAGAGTTGAGGATGGAATGAAGGTAGAGAGAACCGGGAGGACTCACTGTAGACCAGACCTGTGTGTCTCGCTGCTTCACACAACTCAGTTGAGTTTAGGTCTGTGTGGATGGTCTTTGTCTGTGTGGATCTATCCTGTGAATCTACCTTGTAAATAATAATTGTACCAAGTACAGAAAGCAGGAGTTGGTGGCTATCCTTTGTCTTCCAGCACTGGTCCCCGTGAACACTTGACATGCACTGACTACTGTAGTAGGCCTCATGGGTTATTTGTTAGTGCTGTCAACTACAAACCCATAAGACACAGGTTCAGTGTTGTGGCCAGGCAGGGTTTGTGGGTCATTATCTTGTGGTGGTCTACACATAATATATGTAATATTATCTTTAATAAAAACATTAAATGATCAAATATATACTTGGCTGCTCACTAATGGAAGAATTAGAAGAGCTGTCATTTAAAATATATAAAATTAAGATAAATTGTTCAAGTTTAATGTAAATTTTATATCAATATTGTTAATAAAATGTTTGTTATAATTTATGTTTTATTATTCACATGAAAATATTGGGATGAAAAATAGTTCCTTTAAGATTGACTTATATGTTTGAGAGTAATATTTATCTGTCTGTCTTCTTTATTTATCTAACATATTTATGTGGGGTGGATTATGGGGTACAGAAACCTCTCCCATATTTATGTGGGGTGGATTATGGGGTACAGAAACCTCTCCCATATTTATGTGGGGTGGATTATGGGGTACAGAAAACTCTCCCATATTTATGGGGGGTGGATTATGGGGTACAGAAACCTCTCCCATATTTATGTCGGGTGGATTATAGGGTACAGAAACCTCTCCCACATTTATGTGGGGTGGATTATGGGGTACAGAAACCTCTCCCATATTTATGTGGGGTGGATTATGGGGTACAGAAACCTCTCCCATATTTATGTGGGGTGGATTTTGGGGTACAGAAACCTTTCCCATATTTATGGGGGTGGATTATGGGGTACAGAAACCTCTCCCATAACTATGGGGGTTGGATTATGGGGTACAGAAACCTTTCCCATACGGTGGGGTGGACGGGTGACATCTCTCCCATATTTATGTGGGGTGGATTATGGGGTACAGAAACCTCTCCCATATTTATGGCTGGTGGATAAATGGGTATAGAAACCTCTCCCATATTTATGGGGGTTGGATTAAGAGGTACAGAAACCTCTCCCATATATATGGGGGTGGATTATGGGGTACAGAAACGTCTCCCATATTTATGTCGGGTGGATTACAGGGTATAGAAAACATTCCCATATTTATGTAGGGTGGATTATGGGGTACAGAAACCTCTCCCTCATTTGTGGGGGGTGGATTATGGGGTACAGAAACTTTTCCCATATTTATGGGGGGTGGATTATGGGGTACAGAAACCTCTCCCATAATTATGGGGGTGGATTATGGGGTACAGAAACCTTTCCCATATTTATGGGGGGTGGATTATGGGGTACAGAAACCTCTCCCATATTTATGTGGGGTGGATTATGGGGTACAAAAACCTCTCCCATATATATGGCGGGTGGATAAAGGGGTACAGAAAACTCTCCCATTTTTATGGGGGTTGGATTAATGGGTACAGAAACCTCTCCCACATTTATGGGGGGTGGATTATAGGGTACAGAGACCTCTCCCATATTTATGTCGGGTGGATTATGGGGTACAGAAACCTCTCCCATATTTATGTGGGGTGGATTATGGGGTACAGAAACCTCTCCCATATTTATGTCGGGTGGATTATGGGGTACAGAAAACTCTCCCATATTTATGTCGGGTTGATTATGAGGAACAGAAACCTCTCCCATATTTATGTGGGGTGGATTATGGGTTACAGAAACCTCTCCCATATTTATGGGGGGTGGATTATGGGGTACAAGGACCTCTCCCATATATTTGGGGGGTGGGTTATGGGGGTACAGAAATCTCTCCCATATTTATGTCGGGTGGATTATGGGGTCCGGAAACCTCTCCCATATTTATGTCTGGTGGATTATGGTGTACGGAAACCTCTCCCATATTTATGGGGGGTGGATTATCCGGTACAGAAACCTCTCCCAAAATTATGTTGGGTGGATTATAGGGCACAGAAACTTCTCCCATATTTATGTGGGGTGGATTATGGGGTACAGAAACCTCTCCCATATTTATGTTGGGTGGATTATGGGGTACAGAAATCTCTCCGATATTTATGTCGGGTGGATTATGGGGTATAGAAACCTCTCCCATGTTTATGTCGGGTGGATTATGGGGTACAGAAACCTCTCCCATATTTATGTGGGGTGGATTATGTGGTACAGAAATCTCTCCCATATTTATGTTGAGTGGATTATGGGGTACAGAAAGCTCTCCTATATTTATGTCGGGTGGATTATGGGGTATAGAAACCTCTCCCATATTTATGTCGGGTGGATTATGGGGTACAGAAACCTCTCCCATATTTATGTCGGGTGGATTATGGGGTACAGAAACCTCTCTCATATTCATGGGGGGTGGATTAAGGGGTACAGAAACCTCTCCCATATTTATGTGGGTGGATTATGGGGTACTAAAACCTC